ATATATATATATATATTTTATATATATATATATATATTTTATATATATATATATATATATATATAATTTGTATATTCAATGTATCCATCAAAATTATCATCTAGAGACTAATCAAATATCGAACGACTTACCGAAGAAACAGCAGACGAATACGATGGTGTACAAAGTGATGAAGATTACTTTCACGTCGGTCCTGTCGAAGATGTAATCTTCGTTCAACGACACATTGTAAAGCAGAGTTTCGTTGTTCATGTAGCTTTCGTTGTTGCTGAACTCGTAAGGAATTGTATTCCGATCGCTGAGCGTTCTGAAACAAAACAAATAAATTCATCTTTAGTAGTCTAATAAAAAAAAATGTTATACAATAATATGCTTTAGTGCTATTAAATCATTATTTTTTATTATCAATAAGTTAGAGAAATTGTGAATAAATCAATGTAATCTACAGAACAAAAGTATATAGTGCTACGTACGTATTACACTCGTAATGTCTCAGGAGCTTTTCATTTTAAAGTTTTAAACTTTATATTTAGAAAGATTGAGTAGAAGAAAAATTGTACTTCTCCCTCTCTTTTTCTTTAATCGATCATCTTATCTGTCGTTTCTTTTTAAGATAAAGTGTTATAAAGTGTCATAAAATTTGTAGTTTTTAAACTCTATGTAATCACATGGCAAAGCAAGGCGGTAGTTACTACATAAGCGCGTGACGCTAAGTTATTAGGCAGAAACTTTCTTTGCGTTATTTAACAAGTTGTATGTACACCATAACATATTCCGGACATCGTGTACTTGTTGCTGATAAAATATTTATGCTGTATAATGATATGTCGAAATAAAATTAACACGATCAAAAAGAATACCAGTGCGTTGTTCTAATAGAGTTTCTAATAGAGAATGCTATTTCTTGAATTTTTTTAGGAATTTTTTAATTCGAAAATTTTAATGAACCAAAAATCGAAAAATCTGAAAAATGACTATGACTGATTTCACCTCGGACAATTTTTTATATTTTTCGATTTCTGCAATAAAATTTTTCGAAAATTTTATTGAACCAAAAATCGAAAAATCTGAAAACATGACTATGACTGTTTTCACTTCGGACAATTTTTTTATATTTTTCGATTTCTGCAATAAAAATTTTTCGAAAATTTTATTGAACCAAAAATCGAAAAATCTGAAACATGACTATGACTGTTTTCACTTCGGACAATTTTTTATATTTTTCGATTTCTGCAATAAAAATTTTTCGAAAATTTTATTGAACCAAAAATCGAAAAATCTGAAACATGACTATGACTGTTTCCACTTCGGACAATTTTTTATATTTTTCGATTTCTGCAATAAAAATTTTTCCGAGAAATTTCTTGGGTCAAAATCGAAGAATGACCATGTAGGAATTAACCTAGGTCGATTTTTTATATTTTTTTAAATAAAATCACGATTTTTTAAAAATAGCTACATAATTCATCTTTAAGATGAGCCTAGAAAGAAGTGTATATCTTTATTTTTCTGGAAGATATGAATTTTTAAACATTGGGGAAAAGAGGCTTCAACGCAAGTAACACGGTAATTTTAAGATAGGAATATCAAGTAGAGTTTTGTAAAATTTCTATTTTCTTCATATTATATATGTTATTCATAGTACAGTAGAGTCCCTCTAACTTTGACTTCTCTAATTTTTGCATTTTTCACACATATTTCCACAAACACTAATGTCATGCCTCCTTTCATGTCATAGAGGATAGGGCAATAAAGTTATGTGTAAAGATTGCGTGATTGGCAAAATTAGAGAGACTCTACTGTATATGGAATCTGATATTTCTAATACATTTTGTTGTCTTACAATAATAGATGTATAAATTACAATACCTGAGAGATCCGCAGACCGTATCTGGTGCTACCCAGAACAACGTATCCACCACCACCGATGCCTCCACCGGTCATGGCTCTTGCAGCGCCACCCAGCCATCCTCCGAAGCCACCCCCTCCTGTCCTCTGGGGCCCACTACCCCCGTCTCCTCCGCCAGCGCGGGGCATTCTTCATCCTTCCTTCACCCTGAAATTCAAATCACGTTATAAACTAAAAAGACGAAGCTCGAGTGAAGGATGACACGTGCGAAAATAAAGTGAAAAGAAGGACGAATCTTGCCTCGCGCGAAAGAGATTACGGCTCGCGTGAATTGTCCTTGGCTGCCCCGTGCGAGGACTAACGAGCTAGATTCATCCTACGGGATATTAACGATCTTCGGTTGAGTTACGAGCGAGCGGCTCACGCGACGGACGCATCACGCACTTACGCACGCAAAATGCGGGCCGCTGCGTAAATTACTGCGAACGTTCGCGCATTCCCCAATAACTGTCGGCCACGATCTTATTTATTTATCGTACGCCATCGCCGATGAATGAGGCTCGCCGGAATTCGCGGGTCGCTACCATTAAGAGATTCGCGGACAGTCGCGCCGCTACCGGAAGCGACGAGGTCACCGCGTGCCGTGGCAAGACCAGTGTCGGCAGCGAAATTCTTTCTTGGCTCTCGTCAGAGCCGGGAACAAATCTGCTGACGTCCGAGGGAGGTCTTCCGATCGCGAGTCTGTGGATCGTTAAAAAAAACTTTGCGAGAGTTCGGAGCAATCCTACGAGTCTAACGCGTGACACAAGATATTTTCAGATTTTACTTTAAATAAATAAATTCGAGGTATATTACAACAAAGAATTATTTTTCAAATTTTCTGCAAAGCAACGTGACTTTAAAATAACGTAACATATATGTCTATTCTGTAATGTTATTTTTGTAATTTGAAGAGTTGCACCTTTGTGATTTTATATCTATTTTTTAAAATAAAATAAGATGTACTTATTTATAGTCTCGCTGCATGCGTAATATCTGGTCACGAAGTAAAATAATCTTGCATTATCAGGGATTATAATTTTAACAATTTTCCCAATTTTTTTACATGTTATTCTGTAGAAGTTTAAGTAGCAAAATATTTTAGCTTTCAAACATATCGTGTTATGCTCTTATATTATATGTATTTCAGTGGAATCATCATTGAAACCAAATACTTAATCATGAATAATGGAAACGCAATGTGGTGGTAAAGGTATCTATACAATTCAATCGTATATTTCAGAAAAATGACCGGAAGTCTCTGTCATGCCAGTGCTCTTACCATAACTTTCTACGTAAAACCAAAACCAAATTATATAGAATATAAATTCTATCCGACAAGCTTTCCCCACATAAACTTCCGCCTTCACATAAATCGTGCTGTAAGATTTTAACTCTTTTTTTCTGCAAGCTTCGAATTTTTTATTAAACATTTTAGTAATATATATATATATAATACACATAATTTTTATTCTCTGGTTATGTATTTTAATCAAAAGAAATTTATATATAAAGGAAAAAAACATAGGAGTCTTAATTATGTTGATAATGATATAATATTAATTAAGTAAATCAAAACTTAGAATTAAAATCAAAGCGTTTAAATGTATATGCAGCGTTATGTGTATTAATGTACAATAAATGTACAATAATAGCAAATTATGGTGACATTTATGTATTGCCGTTTAGACCGTTGGAATATATTTTCTTCCATTTCATTATAAACATATCCGATTTTATTTTAAAGCCATTTTATATGCACTTCTAAAGCCCGGCCGTGATATTGACACGAGTCAATTGCACATTTTCCACTCACAATCAGATGAATAAGAGATGTGCCTGCTAATCCGAACCAGATCAATTGATTGTTATAATGCGAAATTGTCGTGGCGCTTTCCGAATCAATGAGATTCACAGATCAGTGCTAGCCGCTTATCGCGCGTGAATAAATAAGTAAGTGATTAAAACAAAATTGTGATTATGCTGCATAAATCTCGATCTGCCACCTACATGCACGTCCCACGTTTTCATTATAAAATAACGACTCAATGGAACAGTGAACAAGTAGCGATTTCATAATGATCGATATATATCTTCGTTTTAATAGTAATAATTTTGTAAGTTTTGTAAAACATATTTACATTTTAAATATTATTTAAATAATATTATATAATGTATAGAATAATAAAACATACATATATTCTTTTATACCTTATAATAGAATCTTTTTTGCTGTAATAATGATTTTTTTCCGTGAAAAAACAATTATCAAAGACAGCAATTTTTTCTTTATTTAAAATATTTATTTTATAATTTACTACTGTTTTTTAAACTATACATTATAAAATTAAAAATTAAAAAATAACGAATTTGCAACTTGACTCTCTTTCGAGATTTATCATAAAATTATTCTTGCCCTCATATGGCATTAAGAAGATATTAACTGACAGCTACTTAAATAAATAACAAAATTCATCGTGAGCTCGACAAAAATAAGAATGCAGATTTAATTGCGATTTATATCCAAGAAGTTGAAAAAAATCACGATTTAATGGACGTCCATTTAAGTAGATAAGCGTGACCGCGGCTGACAGATATAATGGATGAAAATTCGTTGGAATTCACGCTCAAGGCCTTGCATAAAACATCCGCTCCGAATTTATTATCGCCGTTAATGCAAACGGGACGCGTTGCCGTGCCGGAAGTCATCGTGTATTATTGCTAATACCCAAGGAACCGATGTATTCGGTACAATCGTCCTTTCAGTACAAAGTTAACTCCTTGGCATCGCCGCAACCATAAAATTTACCGGAACTGTTCGACTACTCGCATAATATATTTAAAGTAAATAAATATATATTTTAATAAAATCGATAATAATTTGAGAAAATCAATTTTATATATCCATATTAAAAAAATAAAAATTAATAGAACGTATTTATATATCTTTCATATTTACATGTTCGAAATTTTTTATCGTAACTTTTTATTAAATTTTTCTCGTATGATCGAGACTGAAATGAATGCTTTACAAGAGGAAAAAAAGATTGCAATCTAAGAGGTCTTAAACGATCTCTTATTAAAGATGCACGTGTGAACGATTCTTAAGTATATGTACGCGTTCGTGACTCTATTCTTCGAGAACAGTCACGCGTCCATTAAAAGCGCACCTTTTACTACTCACGTGCGTCGCTACCGTAATATAAGGTCGGCGGGTATCAGCCTTGTTAGATATTCATTGCGTCACTTTATCTGTAATCGATGACGGATTGACATCGCAAGTCGTTGAACTCGCGCCAAGACGCCGAATGAATTTGTCGCGACGAAAAGAGGGAATTCGGGAGAAAAAAAGCATTGCTTCCCCGGCAGCGTGAAAAATGTGTTTATTGGCGACGTTGTGTCGTTTGGCGCTTATCCATTTCGTCGTTTGGATTTTTCTAATGTGACAGAAAACGTATTTTCGTCGGTGAAAATCGGTCGCGGGATCGACAAGAATGTTGTTTGCTTTCGGTGCACAGTGAACATGCTACAGCAGATAAAAATTATACTTGGCGCCTCTGCTTATCTTTATTATTGCTCATTCAAGTAGCTCTTGCTCTTTTTTTTTGCGAAAAATAGAGAGCAACGTTAAAAGTATAATGCATTTATTTATCAATTTTTCAAAAAACTATGCAAACTTCATGAGGATATGAAAATTTAAAAAAATCAATAATTCAAGAAAAGCTAAAGATTTTAATAATAATTTAAGCAATTTTAAAAATTTATTTTTATTAATAAATATGATAGAAATAGTTAGAAAGATTTATCAGAGTTGAAACTGAGTAAGAATTAACTACTGGGAGTGCAATTTGACTGTTTCTGCGTAGCGCCCAATTGATAAACATGCTTCTACAAATAATTGAGACTGTACCAAGGCCGAGTCAATATCGTCGAGCAGGATGTTTATCCGTATTACAATTTCCAAAGCAATCATATACATATATTCCAGATTTACTGCGCCATATAATATTCCAATCCACACCATAACTACATTATATTTATTCAGTTCATTTTTATGCAATATGTGTCTAAAAATATCTAATTATATCTGAATTTTTCTTTGATATAAAAATTTCTCTTTTATAATATTTATGTATATATGTGTATAATATTGTATTAAACTTAATATACTTGATATAACATAATAAGTTTATAACAATAAGATAAGTAATATTATAAGAAGTTTTATACTTGCATGTCTTAATAATTATATTATTATGAGAAGTTATATTTCATTAAATTGTTAAATTATTAATGTCAAATCTTTTTCTCTGGAGTGATTAACGTATACTTGAGAAACGCACATAAAGCGATTAAATGTAAAAAAGAAGCGAGCAAAGAATTATCAAGGTGAAAAACAAAGTCGCGGGCAACACGCGCGAGCAATGCATCTTCGCGCGTTGCTATTTGATCGAAGGGGTTCTTGCCCCGGTGTAAGATCAAGATCGCAGAGAAAAGGAAGATCACGTCTCATCCGACACGCGGAGCACGTAAGAAAACCGAAACGAAAGCGCGACTCTCTCGCAGACTCCAGCTGGACCGCTTCTATTATAAACGCGCAATCCATTCTGCTTGATCTCGTCTTCCAATTGAATCAATTCACTCGGTTAAAAAACCGAGTTAACGAGATTTGCATTCGATCAAACAATGCATATTATTTCCTTTAGCAATGATTTTATCGTTTCACGTGTTTTCTGTATTAACAGTTTTTGTTTTCTGTATGCGTGTAAAATGTAATATTTAGAATTTATTACTTACAATAACTTATACAAACATGCAGTTAGAAAATTTGTTAAATTTAACATGTCCCAAACGGTCTATTCAAATTTTTGTGTTAATTTAAAACAAAAGATAAATTTATTAAAAAATAACATAAATATAACGTAAAAAGTTAACACAAAAAATGTAAAACTTTCACACAATTTGGAAGCATATATCTTCAGTAAAATTAACATTTATAATATATGTTAAATTAACACGTACATTTTATGCATTTATCGTTTATCTTTTACGTATTAAAATACATTACTACATTATTTTTATATAATTTCTTCATCAATATAAATTACATACTCATAAATTGTGTTATTTTAACACCAAAAATGTTGAA